GCCCAAAGAAGGCATTGCCATGGTGGCGCAGTGGCTAGAATGCAGCGCTGCAGGCTACTTCTACTGACTGTTGGCTGCCAGCAGTTCAACAGTTCGATTCTCAGTGGCTTAGGGTTGATTCATCCTTTCACCCTTTTGAGGTCAGTAAAATGAGGATTTGGGGGCAATATGTTCACTCTGTAAACAGCTTAGAAAGAGCTGTAAACCATTGTAAAGTGGTATATACATCTAAGTGGTATTGCTATTGCAAGAACCAAAGGCCTACAGTTTAAATAGCAATAAGCTTCCATATCATATTTCAGGATTATGACCTAACCTGATTGCCTCACTCACCCAAAAAACAGCCAAAAATGGAACTAGGGGTGGAGAGGTGCAGAGGTGGGCTGCTGCCAGTTTGGACCAGTTTGCCCAAACCTGTCATTCCGATTCTGCATGGTTCTGAGAACTGGCAAATCAAATCACAGGCTGGCCCCGCCCCTGCCTGTTTTTCCACCCATTACTGGCTGTTTTCAGCCCGAAAAAATGGCCTGAAAACATCTGAAAATGGCCCCAAAAACGTGTGGCTCAGTGTTAACCCAGTGGCTCTCTTCTAGAGTAAGAGCTTCTGGTCTGAATTTGAAAAAATCTACAAGTTGTTTTGACTAACACAGTTCCAAGTCCATTTTGCTTGAAAACAAACCGTAGTGAGCTTGTTGGAGCCATTTCCAAAGCAAAGGTTCCCACCTTATTATGACAAACAGAACAAATGGAATAAAGAGCCTTTGTTCGTTTGCCTCCACAGACTAGCACTGGCACTCTCTGCAAATGATGATAAAAATTTGCTCCCATTGAAGTCAGCAGAAAATAGCGAGTTGGAAATAGAATAGTTCCTGTGTTGGACTAAGGATGGGCAGAATGCCCTATTTCCACTCCCTGGCATTTAAAACTTTTTCATTGGGGAGTGTTTTGTGGAATGCAGCAAAATAAGCAGCAGTCTGCTGCTCTGATCCTCAGCACAATTGGAAGCAACTTATCTTGCAATGTGTTCAGAATCTAAGTGTCAGCCATGGCCATCTGTAGCCATTGGTTACCATTTTGTCTTCTTGGAATCAGCCGCTTTCTCTGTAGTAAGCATGTCAAGTTTGCCATAAGTTTTAAATTGATGTCTTGAACTAAGGAAGGAGTAGCATAAAAGAGCAAGTTTTCTAGCCACATTTTGCTTTGTTTTACATTTCTACTCATGTCAAGGCATCTTTCAGTAAAACACTTTGTAGGTTATTGCTTCAATCAGGGAAAAATTCACACATTTCATTTAATAATAGTGTGAGAACATGAGATGGGCAACTATATCACCTCCTATTTGGATTCTCCCTCATTGGGCAATTGGCTGACACATTAAGAGGCAGTGATCTGTGAGAACTGATCATGCAATAACTAGTGGTAACAGATTTACACGTTCACGTTATCAAGCAATAGTTGCAATTATCACATTGATAACATATTGTATACTTACTGAGTTTTATCAGTAAACAATGTGTTTGTATATTTTAGAATAATTAGTCTTCAAAACTAACTTCTTTAAAATAAGCAGAGATTTGGAAATTAGCACTGAGGCTTTTTCTTATCATTATCATTTCTATTCGAAATGAGTCCTTCTATTTAACTCTTGGCGAAGCAATGATAAACAAGCCCATCGTTTGAAAGAGTAGGCTGTTGTCTTATTTTCTGATCATAGGAATGCTTGCTTATCAAAACTAAAATAATTTGGGGTGGGGGGGGGGTAAACCGCAGGCTGAATTTTTTATAGGTAGTATTTTGGCATACCGTATTTTTCAGAGTATAAGACGCACATTTTTCCCTCAAAAAAGAGGATGAAAATCTGGATGCATATTATACACCAAATGCAGCATTTTTGGCCTCCTGAAACCCCACCCCGTTTGCAAAAATGGTCGCGCATAGCGTTTAGGAGGCTTCCAGAGTGCTCCTGGGGGCTGGGGAGGGCAAAAATGAGTGAAAATTGGGTCATTTTTTGCTTGTTTTTGTCTTCCCAACCCCAAGGAGCACTCTATAAGCCTCCTAAAGGCTATGCATGCCCTTTTTTTGAAAAAAAACAACCAGCCTTGTTTTCATGAAAACCAGGCCATTTTTGGGAGGTCTGCAGAGTGCAAAAACTATTTTTTGCCTCTTCAAAATCTTGGTGCGCCTTATACTCTGAAAAATATGGTATATTTAGTCAAAACGAAGCCCAAATGGTCTTCCTAAGGTTAGATGCAACCTTCTAATGATATTAATAGCATAACCAGGTTTAGAAACCCAGAACTCATTGAATGCAAGGAAATCTTCCTAGTGATCATTGAAGCATTGGTGTACAGTATCTCTGAGAGCTACTGCAGCCTCACTCAATTCCTTTTTAATAGAATTTAACTTCATGGTTAGATCAGGTAGAAAATCAACTCTTATTTTTCTCCTGTAACTTGCATGCACTATGAGATCTGCTTTGGAGATCTTCCCTGAAAAGCATATGAAGAAGACCAGACTAAAAAGTGTTACTTATGCCTTAAGCCTCACTGAAAGGTTTACAATTTATTTTCTCCATGTATTTTTTAAAAAAATCCAAACCTTCATCATTATTTTCTTTTTTTTAAAAAAAAGTTCGGAATTCATTTTAAAACATCGAGGTTATATACCCTGCTAATAATGTTCATTTATTCATATTTCTTTTTAGGTATTGGTAGTTTGAGTTATTTGAATCTTTAGGTCATAAATTGACTATACAGATTGCAGTTGAGAGAAAAAAAAAATCTTGGGAACATTTTGGGTCTTTAAAAGGAACATAAAGCTTCCCAATTAACCCTTGACAGGAGGTTCATTACAAGCTTCATAATCCTTTGCCAAGTCTTTTGTGTAGCGAAACTAGCCTAGTACCAAGGACTTAGGAAGCTTAATCCAAACATGGAAGGAGGCTTTAAACGAAAAGCATTTATTCAGTTTTAAGACTTACATTATCTTTAAAAGCAGGTACTTTCAGCTACAACCCTACACACAAATACACAAATGCTTGTGATATTGGTTGCCCATAGGAAAAAGAATACACTATTCATATGGCTCGTTTTCTGGTCTGAGTTAGCGCAAGTTGGGGGAGTCAGGATATCCCTCCCTCCCTCCCTCCCTCCCTCTCTCTCTCTCTCTCTCTCTCTCACACACACACACACACACACACACACACACACACACGTTGTGGCAGCAATGAATAGGGATACAAAAGCGTGTTTTGGGAAACTCTTCGGCCCTTCCTCTTTGTTACACAAACACCGATAAATAATAGAAATGCCTAATATTTGCTCCAGCAAAGGACTAATTTAACTACTTTGTAGGCACAAGATCTGTAGGTAAACATTAGGAAGAAAAAGGCCCTTGTCTTTCAAAAGAAAATATAAGAACACATTTTAAAAAAAAAAATCCAGGGGGAAAAAAACCAGCAATAAGAGCTTTTTAACAGGGAAACAGACTGCTTTAGGAAATGATGAATTTTGCTTGAGTTGGCGGTGTTTAAACAGAGAGTAAATGGATGCACAACTAACAGGGAAACTATAAAGGTGGACTGAGTAGAAAACTGGAGTAGATTAGTTCCAAAGTCCCTGCAAATGGCTGCATACTATTAAAGGCAAAAGATATTCATCGTTCTTTTCAATTTTGAATAAGATATTTGCAGGAAAGGCATTAAGAAATTACCTTCTTGACTATTAGTATCTCATCTCTTTACACACTAAAGCTGATACAATATTGTGTCCTATGCTAATGGGTTGGGTGCCGTCTACAATGGCTTGGAAGCAGGGCGGCTGTATAAATGTTTTAAATGAAATAAATAAATTAGATATTATAACAATGGTGTCAAATATCGTTATCCAGAATTATAATCTTTGGTTCTGGTGACTGTTTATTCAGCTATTAATCAGATAAAGCATTTTGATTTAAGCTGGTCTTATGCTTACATTGTTTGGAAATCAGAAGACATCTACCACTTGTTCAGATAAGTATTTAATGAGTTCAGTATTAGCCACAGTGATTGTTGATGTTAAAAGAATATACATCATTTTTGTAATTATCATGATAGGTTATTGTTTGTCTACTTTAACAAGATCTTTGATACTTCCCCGGGGAAAAACAATCATTTCTATTAAAGCTACTGTTCCTCATATTTCTTATATGTCACCTCTCACCTTTAATTTACTAATTGATGAACACATGGGGTTTCCAAAGGTTTAGACGGGGATGGGAATTCAAAAAAACATTTTGGAAGGAAACAATGGAAACCTACTTTAGTAAACCTGTCAAGAAAACTACAGGAGTTAAGGATATTGTTCTCCTCATCTAAAATGTTAACTGGCCATGAGCTTGTTTAAGAGGCATAGAAGCAGCCATTCTCCACCCCCTGCACTTCCAAAAATTTACTGCCAAGATTGATACTCTCAGAAAATGAACCTCACATACTACAATATTCAATAACTTTAGTTTTGCACCTCCTGCCGTGAATGATCACAAATATTTCCTGATCTGTATGAGGGATAGTTTAAGCATATCCTGGTGAAAAATGGAGTTTATGATATAAAAAAAATATCTCCACCCTGGTTTATAAAATGTGATATATGAAAAGGAAGGCGTGTGGTTTCCATAGAAAAGCAGAGACCCAGCAAAACCTCTTCGCTCATTAGCTTCAATCTAAAATTGGGTGTTGTAATCCATACAATTCAGGTGTTTTGATCAGCAGGACTACATAGAGTAACACGGCAAATCAAAATAAGGGATTAGATTCTCTGTTCAGAGTTTTATACATGCAATAAAGTCTGGAGGACTCCATCAGCAATTTCAAATGTCTGTAACTGAAATGATACTATTATTCACACCATTTTTTTAAAAAAAATATTGAAAATCCAAAGAAGCGCACGCTTTGGATTTCAGGGGTGGTGATTCATAAAAGTCATGAGACAGCTTTCAAGTTATTCATAATGTTTTTCCTTTAGGCCTGATGGAATAGGAACGGTAACAGTAGAAGAAAAAGAGCGATTTGAAGACATCAAAGAGCGGCTGCGGTTGTTATTGGAAAATCAAATCACGCATTTTAGGTAATAATGGCTATATCAATTTCCAAAGCGGGAGTCATGTCCCCAGGTTTCCACTGTTGCAGTTATCATGGCTTGCTTAAGTAGTAGCAATTCATTAAGAGTTGTAGACAGAATGCTTAGGAGAAGAACTTGCAATTTTAAGGTTTAAATTTATCATTACTCCAGGGTGATCCAATTCCACTTACCATATATTTCGGAGTATAAGACACTCTGGAGTATAAGACATCCCTGACTATAAGACGCACCAAAATTTTGAAGAGGCAAATTTAAAAAAAAAACATTTTTGCACTCTGCAAACCTCCCAAAACCAGCCCTGTTTTTTGTCAAAAAGGACATGCATAGCATTTAGGAGGCTTGTAGAGTGCTCTTGGGGGCTGGAGGGCAAAAACAAGCAAAAAAACGGCAAGTTTTTACAAAAATGGGCCCATTTTTTTCGAAAAAAGAGTATGCATAACCTTTAGGAGGCTTATAGCATGCTCCTGGTGGCTGGGGAGGGGGGAACGAGCAAAAAATGCCCATTTTTTGCTCATTTCTGCCCCTTCCCCAGCCCCAGGAGCACTCTGGAAGCCTCCTAAAGGCTATACATAGCCATTTTTGCAAGGGGGGGGGGGTGTTGGGAGGCCAGAAATGCTGTATTCAGTGTATAAGATGCACCCAGATTATCAACCTCTTTTTTAAGGGAAAAAGGTGCATCTTATATTCCGAAAAATATGGTAATGGTTGAAATTGATTGTTATGTGAGTAAAGTTCCATTTAGGATTGGAAGACTTCCTAAAGAAGACAGTGCCAGGGGGTCACCAACGTAACGGACCACAGGGACCACTAAATTCATAATTTTAAATCCCGCGGATCACTAATATGATTTTTTTTTAAAGATAAATAGTATTTAGTGCAATATAAAAAAAATGCAAATAATTTTTCTGTGGATTACCAAAATTTTCTCACAGACCACTGGTTGGTGACTACGTTAAAACTGTCTCTTCCTCTTTAAAGTCTCCTAACCTAAAACTCTTCTTCTGAGGGTTTTGTAACCTTTTGGGATGTATCTTGAGAAGAAGGAATATAAAAGGAAGGAGGCATCTTGCTATTGGGATCAGTAGAGAAAAGCCATCCCCCAGGAGGAAATACCCCAAATGTTTTACTAGAACTTCAATTTTCCCATCAGAGCCATCATCTTGACTTTGGTGATCAAACCCTTACACAAACACAGGTAGTCCTTGACATACAACCATTTGTATAGTGACTGTTCAAACTTACAATGCCACTGAAGAAAGTAACTTATGTCCGGTCCTCACACTTGCGACCATCAGAGCATTCCCCACAGTCACATGTCCAAAATTTGGACAAAATTTGGCAACCAGCATGTATTTACCTGATCACCTATTTCACTGGCTTCTGACAAACAAAGTCAATGGGGAAGCTGGATTCACTGAATGACCACATGACTCACTTAACAAACTAGTGATTCACTTAACAACTGAGGCAAAAAATGTGGCAAAATCAGGCACGACTCAATGAGCAATCACTTTGCTTAGCAACGTGCTGGTTGCTGGCATTCTGGTCCCAAATCTAGTTGTAGGTTGAGGATTACCTATATTTATTAATTAAAAGTGATGATATGATGATGGGCAGGTTTCTGCTCACATTTTGCGATTAAAACCAAAACAGCTCTTTTCTTTATCTAGGGACAATGACTAGGACATAATATAGCCATATTATACCATGCTGTTGTCTGATTTTTTTTCTCTATTCCTTTTGCCTATCTCCTTATTGTATGATATTTTTCCTCATGCCCTTTCCTCTCTGATTCAAGCATGGAAAAGCCCATTTTCTCTGAAAGAGTCCTACAGTTACAGGACTACTAGGTATCCTTGTTAAAAGTACCAGTGAGGCATGATACAAAATCCAGGCTCCAAAAGCAATCATCGAATTATTAATTTGAAGAACTCAAAAGAGATCTATACAGAATAGGAAAACAATCGTCTTGTTGGTATTCCCTCTGCTCTACCTGTTAAACATCACTTCCCATTTGAAATTTTCAGTTGTCTCACTGGCTTTCCTGATAGAACTCCAAGTATCACATCAAGAGAACATTTGTGAGGACAAAACATATGCCCTCCCCCAGCTAATTTGGGAATTAATCAACATTGTTCATATTTATTGGAATGATAGTAGCACTCTCAACAAATAAAATTGTAAGGGTATAAATTATATGTGAAGTAATGCTGGATAACCATAACTCCTTTCCTGTGTTTAACCAAGATTTCAATTTATCTGAGCCTTCTTCTTTCATTTAAAATTCTAGATTTTTCTTAAAAGGCATTAATTTAAATGTTCAACCCAAATCCTGTAGTTTCACTTAAGACAGTGTTTGTGGACACAGGAATTCAGATGAAAGTAGGCAGGGAAAGTTATTCTTTACATCAAATTGATGTAACTATATTAAGTAATATGCTGTAAAAATATTAAAAAGCTATATATTATTTCTAGGTATTGCTTCCCATTTGGCCGACCGGAAGGAGCTTTAAAAGCCACTTTATCACTCCTGGAACGGGTAAGCATAAGATCAATATCTCAGGGGCTGCCACAAAGAAGAGGGAGTCAAGCTATTTTCCAAGGCATCTAAGGGTAGAACAAGAAGCAATGGGTGGA